TCTGCCTCAACGTGTCCATATGGGCGTGGGCGTTGTGGGCCGCATGGTGTTCTGCTCTGCCCCAACGTGTCTATACTGGTGTGGTCGTTGTGGGCCGCATGGTGCTCTGCCTCAACGTGTCCACATCGGTGTGGACGTTGTGGGCCGCATGGTGCTCTGCCTCAACGTGTCTATATGGGCGTGGTCGTTGTGGGCCGCATGGTGCTCTGCCTCAACGTGTCCATACCGGTGTGGCCGTTGTGGGCCGCATGATGCTGTGCTTTTGCCTCAACGTGTCCATATGTGCTTGGTCGTTGTGGGCCGCATGGTGCTGTGCTGTGCCTCAACGTGTCCATGTCGGTGTGGTCGTTGTGGGCCGCATGGTGTTCTGCTCTGCCTCAACGTGTCCACATCGGTGTGGACCTTGTGGGCCGCATGGTGCTCTGCTCTGCCCCAACGTGTCCACATCGGTGTGGACGTTGTGGGCCGCATGGTGCTCTGCCTCAACGTGTCGACATCCGTGTGGACCTTGCGGGCCGCATGGTGCTCTGCCCTGCCCCAACGTGTCCACATCGGTGTGGACGTTGTGGGCCGCATGGTGCTCTGCCTCAACGTGTCGACATCCGTGTGGACCTTGCGGGCCGCATGGTGCTCTGCTCTGCCTCAACGTGTCAATATGTGCTTGGTCGTTGTGGGCCGCATGGAGCTCTGCCTCAACGTGTCCACATCGGTGTGGTCGTTGTGGGCCGCATGGTGCTCTGCTCTGCCCCAACGTGTCCATACCGGTGTGGCCGTTGTGGGCCGCATGGAGCTCTGCTTCAACGTGTCCACATCGGTGTGGCCGTTGTGGGCCGCATGGTGTTTCTGGCTCTGCCTCAACGTGTCAATATGTGCTTGGTCGTTGTGGGCCGCATGGTGTTCTGCTCTGCCCCAACGTGTCCATACTGGTGTGGCCGTTGTGGGCCGCATGGAGCTCTGCTTCAACGTGTCCACATCGGTGTTTGGCCGTTGTGGGCCGCATGGAGCTGTCCTTGCCTCAACGTGTCCACATCCGGTGTGGCCGTTGTGGGCCGCATGGTGCTCTGCTCTGCCCCCAACGTGTCCATACCGGTGTGGTCGTTGTGGGCCGCATGGAGCTCTGCTTTCAACGTGTCCATACCGGTGTGGTCGTTGTGGGCCGCATGGTGTTCTGCTCTGCCTCAACGTGTCCATATGGGCGTGGGCGTTGTGGGCCGCATGGTGTTCTGCTCTGCCCCAACGTGTCCATACCGGGGTGGGCGTTGTGGGCCGCATGGTGCTCTGCCTTGCCCCAACGTGTCCACATCGGCGTGGACGTTGTGGGCCGCATGGAGCTGTGCTTTGCCTCAACGTGTCCACATCGGTATGGTTATGGGTGTGGGCCGCATGGTGCTGTGCTGTGCCTCAACGTGTCCATGTCGGTGTGGTCGTTGTGGGCCGCATGGTGCTCTGCTTTGCCTCAACGTGTCCACATGTGCTTGGTCGTTGTGGGCCGCATTCTGCTCTGCCTCAACGTGTCCATACCGGTGTGGGCGTTGTGGGCCGCATGGTGCTCTGCTTTGCCTCAACGTGTCCATATGTGCTTGGTCGTTGTGGGCCGCATGGTGCTGTGCTTTGCCTCAACGTGTCCATACCGGTGTGGCCGTTGTGGGCCGCATGGTGCTGTGCTCTGCCTCAACGTGTCCATACCGGGTGGCCGTTGTGGGCCGCATGGTGCTGTGCTCTGCCTCAACGTGTCCATACCGGTGTGGCCGTTGTGGGCCGCATGGTGCTGTGCTTTGCCTCAACCTGTCCATGTCGGTGTGATCGTTGTGGGCCGCATGATGCTGTGCTCTGACTCAACGTGTCCATACTGGTGTGGTCGATACGGGCCGCATGGTGCTCTGCCTCAACGTGTCCAAATCGGAGTGGTCGGTGTGGGCCGAATGGAGCTCTGCTCTGCCTCAACCTGTCCAGATGTGCTTGGACGTTGAGAGCCGCATGATGCTCTGCCCAACCAGACAGACCGTTGTGCTCGTTTCAATCCGCTTGATGCTTTGCTTTGATTAACGATTTCATAGGGGCTAGATCGGAGGGGACCCGGCTGAGCTATAGACTCACCCAGTCTCTAAGTAATGGGTCTGTAGATTCTGAAACGCACAGAACAAACATCAACTATAAGATATCGAGTTAATCAAAGACAAAACGCTGTAACTCAGACGAACCTCTAAACAGAAAATAATAGAGCGGGAGTGTAATAGGCTAGCCTTATTATGGTACTAAAATAACGGTTTTTATTGATTGTAGGTAGCGGACAGATTAAAAAGCAAGTAGCTA